CACACACATATATATACCCACAGACACATCAACATCCACACCCATACACATATACACAAAACACATACGCACACATATATACACATACATACGCATATATATACACACAGATACGTGCAGACACACATACCCATACACACATATACAATCTTCAAAATTTAAATGCAACATTAATTGCCATATTCTGTCTTCTTTAGCTCCGTTCTTTTATTGTCCTTTCCTCAATTGTCTGCCCTAAAATCTTCTCTGTCCCCCCCTGTGACCCTCTGCATCCTTGTAGAATTACCGATTTTCTTGGGGTTGTACCGGGTGTAACAGCAAAATTGATCAACCCGTGTAACAGCATAATTGCCATTCAGTTAGAGAACAGGATAAAATCATTTTGTGTCAACCCCACTGTCTTCTCAACTGAGCAATGGTGAGAAGAAAATGATCATTCAGATCTTCAGAAATTGTATCAACATTCATACTTTGGCTTCCGTCTTCAAAGTCCATTCAACAATCATCAAGAGAATGGTGAATAAGTTTTAAAAAGAGGGAAGAGTAAAGAGGAAAACTGGATCAGGCAGTCACAACAGGAATAGGGATCATCATTTCAACTTAAACCTAAAGAGATCAATTAGAAAAGATCCAATTCAATCCATAAAACGGTTAGCATGTGAGAGAGGAGTTTCAGCTATGACAGTCCAGAGAGCAGAGAAAAAAGACTTGAAAAGACGTGAAACGTAAGAGGCACCTTGTTACTTCAGAACAGAAAGTTAGGAGGCTAGAGAAGATGAAGATCATCTTGAATAAGTTGTAAAATGATCCTAGAATAGTATATATATATATATATATATATATATATATATATATATATATATATATATATATATGAACTTTATTTCAATACTTCATGATCTTTCGATCCTTAGCTATCATTGATTAATGATGAACATGTCATTTTCGTTTATAATCGATTTCATCACAAATCATATGTTAAGCTTGGAGAGTAATTATACATTCTTATTGCTCAAAGTAGAGTCCAAAATTATTATAAAAACCTCGAAAAATTCCAGTAAGATACATTTAATCATTTCTAAGATACACCAGTTCAGAGCTTAGTCTAACAATTGGACAATTTTGGTGTTATAGAATTTGAACAATTTTGGTGTTACACCGGTATATATATATATATATATATATATATATATATATATATATATATATATATATATATATATACGCTCTATTCCTGTTATTGGGCACTTTTACCCATAAATATAGCATAACTTAAGAATATATTCTTATCATACGTAAGTGTATTTAGGAAGTCAGCACCATTGAAATAAGCTCCATTACCTCAACAGATCTATCTTTCTAGGTATACTTAACAAACCGAACGCAAACGAATGTGAACCCCACCGAACAATAAGCCACGTGACAAAACTCATCATCCGTATTCTGATGAATAGAGCGTGTGGCAGAATCAGGCCAGAGATAGGACAAGAATAGTGCGGGTTCGTCAAAGACACCGTAACAAGGAACGCGATATTCATGATTAGAATGTTATCAGAGAGAGCGATACAGATGAAGAAGGACGTGTACCTGTGTTTTATAGACTACGCAAAGGCCTTTGACAAAGTACGCCACAAGGATCTGATGGAACTGCTCAGCAACCTTGATATAGTCGGGAAAGATATCAGAATAATCAAGAACCTATATTGGCAACAAACAGCATGCATGCGTATAGGGAACGAGTTCAGTGAATATACAAAAATAGAAAGGGACGTAAAGCAAGAATGCGCCTTCTCACACGACTTGTTCAACCTGTACAGCGAGGCAATTCCCGAGAGAATTGGAAACCCTACCGGGATTTAACAGTGGCGGTCACAATCTTAAGATACGTAGATGACACAGTACTGATAACAGACACAGAAACTATTAGGTTGTCCCAAAAGTTCGTAAACACTTGCGAAAAATTGAATTTTTATGCAACACAGTCCAGCACAATCGAGACAAGCGATGGGTTCAGAAAGGGCAAGAGACACCGTCGGTCCCAAAACAAGATCGATTCGGCAAGAAAGTCATGTTGTGCGTTTGGTGGAACTTTGTGCATTTTGAGTTGGTTCCGAATGGTCGTGCCATCAGTGCCAATCTTTACTGTCAGCAACTGGAGCGGGTCTACGAAAAGTTGAAGCAAAAGTACCCGGCTCTGATCAACCGAAAGCGCGCTTTGATGCAGCAGGACAATGCCAAGCCACACACCGCCAGGAAGACCAAAGACAAGTTTGAAGAGCTGGACGGCGTTGAGGTTCTGCCACATCCAGCCTACAGTCCTGACTGTTCTCCATCAGATTACGGCCTTTTCCGCTCAATGCAACACTTTCTGAAGGGCCGCCGATTCGACTCGTTTGATGACGTCGAGGAAGCGTGTCAAGAATTTTTTGATTCGAAGCCGGCTGAATGGTACTTTCACCAGATCCGAAAGCTTGCAGATCGATGGCAGAAAGTCTTGGAAAAAGATGGTCTTTATTTTGATGAATAATTTTTGTTGTTTTTGTTATTACTTGGCGAGTAAAATTTCAATTTTTTGCAAGTGTTTACGAACTTTTGGGACAACCTAATATAAATCTCCTACCGATAGCGACAGAGAGTGAGAAGAAGGGACTAAGCATAAAATACAAGAAGACAGAATCCATGGTCATCAGTAAGAGGATGAACCCGAAATGCGATTTGCAGGTCGGGAACACTAGAATCAAGCAGACGCGGAAACTTAAATATCTGGGATGCGTTTTGACAGAGGACGGTAAGTGCGACACTGAGATCCGTAGACGTATTGGAATGGCTAAGGACGCATTTCAAAAACTGGGCAGAGTATTGCGAGACAGGAGGATTTCTTTGGTAACAAAGAAAAGATTACTGAGCTGTTACGTGACATCTGTCCTCCATTACGGCAGCGAATGCTGGACGATTTCTTTAGGGATGAAGAGACTAGAAACGACGGAGATGTCGTTCTACAAAAGGATGCTGAGGATTTCGTGGACCGAACGTGTGAGGTCTTAGAGGGGATGCAGATAAGGAGGAGGCTCATGCTTAACATCAGGAAGAGACAGCTGAAGTTTCTGGGACACATAATGAGAAAGGAGGGCTTGGAGAATCTGATACTCACGGGTCAAATAGAGGGGAAAGAGAAACAAGGGAAAACAGCGCGTGATATTCTGGAGGGCTTCAGCTGGCGGATGACAGAACGTGGTCTTAGAGAGATAGCAGAGGGAAGGAACTTGTTGAGAGCTGCAAGGGATAAAGGTAGGTGGAGAGCCATGATCGTCTATGTCCTGAAAGGACATGGCACATAAAAAGAAAGATTATCAATACAAACAAGGTTTGTCTGTACGTCTTTTTACTTAGTTTTTCTAAATTTTGACTAAGTTGTTTGATGCCAGAATTAACTTTTCCAAAGTTCATTTCTTGTATCTATCCGACTACTTACGACTGTCGCTACAGTTATTATTTATCAAAAATTGCATGTTATTAGAATTGCATTTTTATCAAAATGTCGGCGTTTCTTAGCCCGCGGAAAACAATTTCAAGTTACTTAACTGAATTCATGCATTTTCTTTCTAATACTCACTTCAATAGTTAATCCGAATACTTCATGCTGTCGCTATAGTCGTCATCAATAATTGCACGTTTGGTCTGTTTATAAAAATGTTTTTGGCTAATTCCGTTTTCCTTTCGTTTGCTTGAACCAATTTCAAGTTACTTAAAGGTGACGCCATTTAATACTTACTCAATTTTTACGTGATTTTCCTTTATATACACTTATTACAATATCTAAAACAGTAATGCAATTTTTATTTATTCGTCTATTTTTAGTGGATGCCCATATTTAAGTAGACGCTCCGTTTATTTTTTTATACAGTATATTTTCGTCTACCGGCCTGCTTTTTAGTTTATAAGATTTCCCGATTATTCAGGCCGGTAGATTAAAATAAATAAATATACTCCTTTAAAAATAAATGCAGCGTCCACTCAAATATTGGTATCCACTAACATAACGTTTAAATTAATAAAATACTCCAATAGACGATGCCACATGAAGAAAGATTCCTTATTTAATGATGGCTATTTCTCTTGTATTAAAACAGCTTTCACAATTTGGAGGGGTTTCTTTGTTTTTTTGTTTTTTTTTTTTTGCACTGAGTCCTATGTAATATTTTGATGTTATCTTTTTGTTTTATACACACTTCAATATACGATCCCACACGGCGAAAGATAACTTATTTAATGATGGCTTCTTCTCTTGTATTACAACGGCTTCCAAAATTTGTTGTCTTTCTTTACACTGAGTCTATATAATTTTCGCTATCTTTCGTTACATTCGATTACGCGCAAATATACTTGTGAAAGGGTGTGAATCCTATTCTTCTGCTCACCCAGTTATGTGGTGAATAACTGAACAGATTGAGTTCTATAGCCTTGCTTGGTAACCAGTCTACTGCAGAAAGAAACGGCAACTTACTGCGGGAAGAATCTCCTACGTAGTCAGTCATGAAATAAAAAGAGATATGATCAACCTAGTGTCTATCATATATCGTACATAAGTGTGTGACTGACGAAATTCTGGCTCATGTAAACTTACCGATTACATAAATATGTTTTGCGTATATTTATGGAATTGTTTTTTTTTTTGTTTGTTTTTTTTTTCTAATCCCGTTTCTCCCACGTCTGCTGGAACGAATTTCAAGTCACTTAAGGTGACGTCATTTAAACGTCCAAATTTAATTTTTTATGTGCATCTTTTTGTTTTATACACACTTCAATAGACGATCCCACACGGAGGCAGATAACTGTTGTGGATTCCGTGTATGGAATCCTGCACAAATAAATAAACAACGCCAGTAATTGAGATGGAAAAATAAGTGTATTAAACGTAAGAATATAGACTTGAAGTGAAGATTAGTAGTCCAGGAATGCGGGTTAGTAGAAAGTATATATACAAGTCTCTGTGATTAAAGCCGTAATCATCTCTCTCTCTCTCTCTCTCTCTCTCTCTCTCTCTCTCTCTCTCTCTCTCTCTCTTTGGTATAACTCTCTGAGGAAACCCTGTGTCTGTCTCCGTCTCTCTCTCTCTCTCTCTCTCTCTCTCTCTCTCTCTCTCTCTCTTTGGACTCTTGTATAACTCTCTGAGGAAACCCTGTGTCTGTCTCCGTATCTCTCCACGTATCTCAACGTATCTCGATATTTAACATTCCACCCACGAGTAATATATGTGGCACAGGGCCGAGTTTAAAGTGGCTTTCTCCGAGCCCGTAGGCTCAGCCAAAAAATATCCCCTTTGAACACGCATAAGCGGGTTCGGAAACTGTCTACCTCCCCGGACGAAACTTTACCCTTCGGCAAAGCTTCGTCCGGGTTCCTCCCTGCCAAAGCAGAGAATTCGACAGACGTCGCACACAGTGAGAGACTGTATCTCGACGTAACACAGTATTTAATATCCCACCCACGAGGAATATATGTGGCACAAGGCCGAGTTTAAAGTGGGTTTCTCCGAGCTCGTAGGTTCAGCCAAAAAATATACCCTTTGAACCCGCCTAGACGGGTTCAGGGCCTGTCTACCTCCCCGGGCGAAACCTTGCCCTTCGGCAAAACTTCGTCCGGGTTCATCTTTGGCAAAACAGAGAGTTCGACAGACGTCGAGACTGTATCTCGACGTAACTCAACCAGCAGGTATTCTCTCTGTCAGTAGAAGTATACTTTGGACGAGTCCATCTTGTGTAAAAAGGGGAGAGCCCCACAACAATAATTTATTTGCTTCTCTTGTATTACAACGGCCTCCAGAATTTGAAGTCTTTCTTTATTTTGAGTCCGATAAAATATATTTGTTATCGATTAAAATTAGGCTTTTGTGAATATTATTTTGTATATGTTGATCTAAATGTGCACGAATTGCACTAAATATTGACAAATGACAAGTCAGCCTACGAGACAGTGTAGTGCATGTGTGGCCAAAGTAAGAATTTAATTTTGTTTGTCGATTATTAGTGTTGGAGATTCTTGATAACGACTCTCGTGACAGTCGAATGTGCTCGAATGGATATAATAAATGAACTTTGGAAAATTAATTCTCACAAAAGAATATTTTAAAATCATTTCACCCCCAAGCAAGGCAACGAAGCCATTAAGACGTATGGGGGTTACTGAGTGTGAAAGAATATAAGAAATATAAAAACATTATTAAGGAGCAAGAACAACTTAGTCGGAAGTTAGAAAAAACTAAGTAAAAAGTTGGAAACAGATCTTGTCGATATTGTGTTAAAGTATGTGCCATCAATGTTTTCTTTCTAATCGCAGATGCTCGGCTTGGTCAATTTCTCTTATTTTACATAATCAGTTACTAGATTGTTCTTTCGTCGCCTCTTCATCATTTGACAAATGAACCCACTGCCTCCATTACGTTAGGCACTTTTTATTAGTTAAAAACAAACCGTTTTTACAGTGCATTTACTGGGTTTATTTTCTGTTTTTAATTAAAAAAAATTAACTTGTGGGTGGGGGAATATGGCATCTGTTTATCGTGTATCTTAATTTAAATTCGTGAGAGTCACGTTATTTTCCTCTCAATTCTCCTGCGAATAAAAATTGTTGGCAGATTTGCCTTTTTTTTTTCCTTTTCTGTTTACGTTCAGTTCCTTCTCTTTGCTTCTTTCTTTCTATCTTTTCCCACTTCTTTCTTTCCTTCTTTCTCTTCTCCAGATTCTTTCTTTTTATTTTCTTCTTTCTTTGTTCTATCTTCTTTTCTTTTTCTTTTCTTTTTAATTTCTGTATATTCTTTCCTCTTTCATTTCATTTACTTTTTTTCCCTTTCTTTCTCATCTTTTTTTTTATTTCTTTGTTATTTATTTTTATTACGATTTTTTCCCTTTCTTTGTTACTTCAATTGTTTTACTACTTTTATTCTTTCTCTCTTTCTTCTTTCTTCCTTTAAATCGTATTTTTCATGCTTATTTCCTTTCCTTCTTTTTCTTTCTTATTTTTTTCTTTTCTTCCTTTCTTTTCTTGCTTACCTTCTTTTTTCTTTCTTCTTTCTCCTTCTCATTTTTTCCTTTGTCTTCTTTTTTATGTGCATTCATTTTAATTGCTTTTCTTAATTATTTCTTTTTTCTTTCTTTCTATCTTTCTTTCTTTCTGCTTTTTTATTCTTCTGCTTCTTCTCTCTCTCTCTCTCTCTCTCTCTCTCTCTCTCTCTCTCTTTTCATATTTCCTTTTCTTCTTTCCCGTTTCCCTTCATTGTCGTTCTTTCCGTCTTCTTTTTATTTTCTGTTACTGCTTTTTACTTATCTTCTTTTCTTTCATGCTCCTGTCTTTCTTTCTTTCTCTCTATCTCTCTCTTTCTTCTTTTTCCTTTTTCCAATCTTATTTCCTTTCTTTCTTTTTTCTTTCTTTGTTTTTTTCTTTCTTGCTTATTTCAATCCTGCTTTCATTTTCACATCTTGCATTTACTCTTTCTATTTTACTTCTTTCTTTCTTTGTTCTTTCTTTCTTATTTCATTTCCTCCCTCCCTTCTCTTCTTTTTTATTTTCCCCTTCCTTCTTATATTTTCTTTCTTTCTTTGTTCTTTCTTTCTTTCTTTCTTTCTTTCTTATTTCATTTCCTCCCTTCCTTCTCTTCTTTTTCATTTCCCCTTTCTTTCTTTCTTTCTTTTTTATTTCATTTCTTTCCTCTATTTCTTCTTTCCTTTATTCTTTTTTCTTTCTTTTTTCTTTTCCTTCTTATTTCAGTTCCTTTCTTGATTCTCTCCCTTTACATTTTCCATTTCTTTCTTCATCTTTGTTCATGTGTTCTTTCTTTTCTTCGTTTTCCTTCTGCTTGTCTTCATTTTTTGTCCTTCGTTCTTTCATTTTAGCGACCAGGATCGAGATTAAAATATCAATTTAAGTGGGAATTTCATGGATGCCTAAAACGCGTGAAGAACATAACAACATTTACTTTTGATTTTACTAATGTAAACACGTTCACGATTCGAGACAAATTCCGGGGAAATAACCACAAAATCAGTCCAGCCTTATTCTCTATCTTCTTATGAGCATGCGCAGAATGCTCACACAATTGTTCAGGTACGCGCAGGCGTAGACAGATTAAGAAAATACCAAGAAATTCTTCTCTAACTATACACAAATGGATTATGGGCACTTCACCGAGCGGTTAGATCGTTCGTATTCTGTGAACCGGGTTCGAATCTTATCATGGCCGATTTGTCAGGAAAGATAAGGTACCTAAATGTTATCGGACTGGAGGGGTCGATACCAGTGGGCGGCACCTTTGGAAAGTGCCTGAAAACCATACCATTGGTTGACCCAAGCCTTGTGAGTGAAACAGGGTAGACGGAACCCTTGGGGGGGGGGCGTCGATAGCTGTGCTAACACAAAAGTCAAAAGTCATCGTGGCCGAGGGATTGAGCGTGCTGGCATTGTTTAAACTGTTGATCACGCTAGATATCATTCTCTTTCCCAGAAACTGTAACTAAGGTCTGCTCAGCAAAATTGCAATATAAACCGCAAGTGGGCTCTGTAGGTGTTGAATAAACACAAAATGCGTCTGAGCAAGCTTCTGTAATAGGAATTGGCTAAACTCGAATACGAGTGGCCAGTTTTACATATATACGAGCAGATCAATATATACATAGGGCGACATGCAGTATTTCAGCCATGTGTTGATCCGAAATTTTCACTGATTAATATTCAAGCTATAGGTTGGTTTGAAAGGATTGGCAAATTTTACAGCATATCAACCCTTTTTATATCATTTAATGTCAAAATCTGTTTCCTTTTTACATTTGGTTTATAGATAAACATTGGTAGTGTTTATATTTGAGTCTGTGATTAAATGTCGGTCAGTTTTATGCTTGAGTCAAAAGGTGAGCGATGGTTATGTTCATAGTGGATTATATCCATAAAGATCGGTAGGATTTATACTTAAGCCTATAGGAAAACATTGGTTGGATTTATACTCAAGCCTATAGGTGAAATATTCAACTAATATTTTCAGCTGGCATGAAGTGAAAAGACTACATTGTTGAATCAATGGCTAAGTCTGTGGCTAAGAAGGAGGTGCTCTATGTTTTTTGTCAGATGCCTTCGATCCGAATAGTAATCTGTATAGTGATCAGTATAGTGATGATATTCACCAACCGCCCCACGCGGTCGGATGTGGCACAAGGCCGAGTATATTGTGGGGTATCCGAGCCGGTAGGCTCGGGCAAAAATTTCCCGTAGACCCTGTAAAAACAGTCGTGAGATGTTCACCTACCGCCCCACGCGGTCGGATCCGGCACAAGGCCAACTTTATTGTGGGGTATCCAAGCTGGTAGGGCCGGTCAAAAAATCTCCCGTAGACCCCGTAAAAAACGGTGTCGGGTAGCTGTCTACCACCCCAGACGAGACTCTGCCCTTTGGCATAGCCTCGTCTGGGTTCCTCTCTACACAGAGGCAGAGAGTTTGACATGCCCACTTCCGAAGTAATTCGGAGAATGATCACTTAGACGCCACGCTAATTTTCCTATATACATTTCTTTTAACATCACGTGATCTACTTATTCAAAATGGGATCACCTGTATTTGTTCTCTGGTGATCTGTGTTCAAACTACAGTGTCGTCGGCGACACTTTATTTCTATATGACACTATGTAGTGCCTGACAATTTTCTCGACAGAATCTATCTTCCATATTCGTCTTTGCTTTGAATATTGCTGACACATCTGCTCTGGTGATTCTGCTATATATTTAGAGATACTTGATAAAATCAAAAGAAGAATCTGCAATGTTATCGGTCCTGACCTGTCATCTCGGCTCGAGATTTACGTTGTTGTGAAACTACTTCGAGATTTAAGTTCTCGTGAGACTACTTCGAGATTTACGTTGTTGTGAGATTATTTCGAGATTTAAGTTCTCGTGCGACTACTTCGAGATTTACGTTATTGTCAGTCTATTTCGAGATTTACATTGTTGTTGTGAAACTACTTCGAGATTTAAGTTCTCGTGAGACTACTTCGAGATTTACGTTGTTGTGAGATTATTTCGAGATTTAAGTTCTCGTGCGACTACTTCGAGATTTACGTTATTGTCAGTCTATTTCGAGATTTACGTTGTTGTGAGACTATTTCGAGATTTACGTTGTTTTGAGACTATTTCGAGATTTACGTTGTTGTGAGACTACTTCGAGATTTACGTTGTTGTGAGACTATTTCGAGATTGCTGATTCAACAAAGAATATTTCCAGCAGAAATCTCTCGTGACATTAATTTTTTTTTTATCTTTGTTTTTTTTTTATTATTTTTTTTTTTTTTGTTTTCTTTTCTTTTGCGTTGTTCTTTCCTCTTTAATTTGTGGACTTACTTATGTACTAATCTATACTTCATCTCCGAGAGAAAGGAAACAAAATGAAAAGTCAAGTTTAAATTCTTTAGATGAATATAGTTTAAAGACTTCACACTATTGCGAGACTCCGCGAGATTTCTGATTCGATCAAAAAAAAAAAATCTTTTTGCTTTCTCTTTGCTTTCTCTTTGCTTTCTCTTTTCCCCGGCTTTTATTTTTTTTTTCTCTCATAGGAATAGAATATTATTGTTTTCGGTGTCTTTAGACTCTTCTGGGTGAAAAATAAACGCAGGCCTTAATTCCCAACGGATTTTGACTACCCATTTTTCATTAACAACGTCTGAGAAAAAGAATAAAGTTCCATTACAGCGCTCACACCTTGAAACGTTTATAAATAGAATGTTCAAAAGGCTGACAACTGGTTCGTCCGCGAAAGTTCTACATGGGTGACGATTATTCGATAGCCATCTTAATAAATAAAAAGGCGCTAAGAGATTTCGAACAGCGGGACCAAACACAGTGTACCACAAACATTTTCTGCAACCCTTTGTCGAGCATTATCCATTATGGGGTTGCTGTATACATCCACGCGGAACTCCTTTGAAGTTGAGGTAGAAATTAAGTGTTAGCCTCAGTTATACTTTGAGAGACATTTTCCCTGAAACTTTCGATAGCGCTTTGTATACTCATTAATAATTCTTCATTTCTAGGCCGGTTGACATTAATTTCACCGTTCTTTAAAATAAATTTTAAAATTAATATTATTATATATAATATAAACTTCGAAATGCCCTAACGAGGCGATTATCTTAAAAAGGGTAACTGAGGCTCGCTTTACCATGCAAGCTCAATTGGTTAAAGTGTGGCAGAGAGCAATGGTGATAGTAATATAGAATTTTGTTTATAGATGAGAAAAATAATCCGGGTGAAGTTTGTGCCAAGAGAATCTGTGCTTCGTCAGAATTATTAATATAACATGTCGAAACAAGTGTTTATATGAAGTATGGAATACCAATTGGGAAGAAGAGACTCCTGGTTTAATCATGAGAAGGAGAGGCCAGTAATCATGTTTAATCTAAGTTTTTGACGCTAACACGCGTTTATTTTGGCGCGTGTTTGTGCGAAAACAAGCAGCGGATGTTTGGAGCTGGATGAAGTGAGTTGGAAAACAGTCGCTGGCGCCGGCCGTTACGCAGAGCGCTGCTGCTGCTGCTACCGCCGCCATGGCTTCGTCACCATAACAACAGAGTTGCGGACCGGCCATCACGCAAATGACAACTAACGCTACCGTCGCCGCCTTCACCGCCACCACTCAACATGTCCGCTTGAGTCTAGAGAGTCGAATGGGAGTCGAGTCAAAATAGCAGTCGACGAGAGAGAGTGAAAGTAAAACGTTCGCTTGCTGCTGTGTAAGGTTAATCCTTGCTGAGTGAATTAATCACGGCCACTACTAAGAACAAAAAGGGGTGAACCCGAAAGCCACTTCTCTTCTTTTAGAATTATTTGCAATATTTGTTTTTGTTCTTTCATGGACTTTATTACTTATACACTACTTTCTTGTAAAGGAAGCATTATTCTTTTGGTACCAATTTCTTCCTTATATACATATGCATAAATTTTTCTTTGGACTCGAATCGACTTGTTCATATTTGATCTTTTTTCCCTGCTTAGCCCGATTCTTGCCCCAACGAACTTGCAGGTAAACAAGCTGCATCTTCCGGGTTCTACGATTTGTTAATTGCTCTCCAGGATCAAAAAAATCACAACGCGGCTGGAAAGTGGAATCGAGTCGACAATGTGAACCGGAAACTTTGATTGAACCTGTAATATTGAACCAGGACAGGACAGGACCAATGGCCGGTCTTGTAGAGTACATCGATCTAGTGGGGTCAGGATAGGTGTTACAAAAGCACATTAAATTCAAAAGTAGTAAAATGAGAATACAAGTTCGATTCCTGTCAGAGGCATTCTTTTAGTAGGGCACCGATTCCCGTACGATCACCGAAGTTAAGCAACGTCCAACATGGTGTGACCGCTTGGGAATATCGGGTGTTGCAAGCTTGGATGTACGGGTGGTGGCTCGGAATTGTTAATCAAAGTAGCCGAGCTGGGTTCGTTATATTCACTTACGAGCAAATAATTGTGGAAAAATATGAAGCTGCCACTTCTTTCCCCCCCCCCAGGCAATGGGTTAATTATTAAGAGTTGTATCAAGAAATCAGTATTATCTACAAAAAATTCTTAGAATCGAAAAAATATTTTCTGATTTTAAATAACCTGCAAAGCGTTGATAAGACGTAGAAAACTAATCAATCCATATCTATCTGCCTATCTATCTATCTATCTATCTATCTATCTATCTGGGAATGTCTTGCACACCTGTAGTAGGCTGTTGGATAGTTAGCAGCAAGCCGATAGAGGAATATCAAGTTTTTATCACATCGGCTACGGGAGAAGGTCAGACATCCAACAGAAGCTCCGGCCTCATAGTGCTTCCAATTTTTTCTCGTTTTAGCGGCTTGATCCTGTGAATTTGCCTGAGAGATTTTGTCTCTTTATGTCGTTTTGTCGATGGCGTAATGGATAATGGCTCCGAATCGTTAATCGGAGAGTTCCAATTCCAGTTGGGTTCGTTATATTCTTGGGATTGATATGAATCCGCCTCTTCTACCCCCAGCTGTGGGTTAATTAGTAAGATCTGTATCGCTTTATACAATTGTTATCTCCCCACCCCTAAAAAAAATTAAATTGATTTGCATCCAAAATATGTAGACATAGGTTGATATGCCGCTAATCTTCTCAGTCTCTAGGCCAGTTGATATTAATTTCACTATGTTTCTGAGATGAGGTAATGTAACTGTTTACACCGTTCGGACTGTTGTCCTCATCTTTATTGTCATATTCACGACGTTTCGGCCGTTGTGTGTTCCGGTCTTCTTCAGGATCTGTCTATATTTCTGAGATGAGGTATTGTAACTGTTTACACCGTTCGGACTGTTGTCCTCATCTTTGTTGTCATATTCAAGACGCTTCGACCGCTGTACGCTCCGGCCTTCTTCTATACGTTGTAACTTCGAACCTTTATCCACGATGGTAGATTGTTCTAATTCCACGTGCCATGCCATTTTTGGTGGGATATTTCAGTTTCAGTTGATTTCCTTTAGTAACTCAACTTTCCATTATTATCTATACCATTATTATCTACAAAAAAAATTCTTAGAATCTAAAAAATATTTTCTGGTATTAAATGACCTACAAAGGGTTGATATACCGTAGAAAACGCATTAATCTACCTATCTATCTATCTATCTATCTAGTTCTGTTCATTATCTATCTATCTATATAGTTCTGTTCATTATCTATCTCTATCTCTCTATCTCTCTCTCTCTCTCTATCTATCTATCTAGTTCTGTTCATTATCTATCTATCTATCTATCTATCTATCTACTTCTGTTCATTATCTCTCTCTATCTATCTATCTATCTATCTATCTATCTATCTAGTTCTGTTCATTATCTATCTATCTCTCTCTATCTCTCTCTATCTATCTATCTATCTATCTATATCTAGTTCTGTTCATTATCTATCTATCTACTTCTGTTCATTATCTCTCTCTATCTATCTATCTATCTATCTATCTATCTATCTTTCTAGTTCTGTTCATTATCTATCTATCTATATAGTTCTGTTCATTATCTATCTCTCTCTATCTCTCTCTCTCTCTCTCTATCTATCTATCTATCTATCTATCTATCTACTTCTGTTCATTATCTCTCTCTCTCTCTATCTATCTATCTATCTATCTATCTATCTATCTAGTTCTGTTCATTATCTATCTCTCTATCTATCTAGTTCTGTACATTATCTATCTATCTATCTATCTATCTATCTAGTTCTGTTCATTATCTATCTATCTATCTATCTATCCATCTATCTATCTATCTATCTATCTATCTATCTAGTTCTGTTCATTATCTATCTCTCTATCTATCTAGTTCTGTACATTATCTATCTATCTATCTATCTATCTATCTATCTATCTATCTATCCATCTATCTATCTATCTATCTATCTAGTTCTGTTCATTATCTATCTATCTATCTATATATCTATCTATCTATCTATCTATCTGGGAATGTCTTGTACACCCGTTGTAGGCTCTTGGATAGTCAGCAGTAAACCAATACAGAAATATCAATATCCCACTGCTGTGGCCAGGTATTGAACTCACAACTCTTCGAGTCACATCACTTGTTGGATTACTCAACGAACGCGTTTGTCTACTGGGCCTTGGAGACATCAGTGAGTGCATTTTGGGGACTTATAAACCTAATGTTTCAGTAAACATTTTTTTTTTTTACCAGAATTCATTTTATAATGTATATCACCTGAAGAAGGTCGGAACGTACAACGCCGAAACGTCGTGAATATGACAATGAAGATAAGGACAACAGTCCGAACGATGTAAATAGTGTAAATATTAATTTCACTGTTTAGAAAAAAGACAGTGACGTCGACTCGTTTACTCACTAAATGACGTTCAGGGTAATAAGAAATAAAATCAGATTTAAAAGAATTAATGGTTCTATTTTTAAATTTTTATTACTTCAAACTAAATTATAGTGGACACTTCATAATTGAAATAGACGCCCTATTTTTATTTATTAGACAGGAGCAATTTCTGCCTGAATTTCTGACGTGAGGAGTTATCGTTTTTTACCCGATTTATATTCAGACTATTGTCCTCATCCTTGTTGTTGTTATCACAACATTTCCCAGATATTATGAATATCTTGATCGCTCATTTTTTACGTTTTTTTTGTCTTGTTTATTCTTTGTTTGTTTTGGTTTATGGATTTTTGGTTTATGGATTTTTGGTTTATGGATTTTTGGTTTATGGATTTTTGGTTTTGTTTTTTGTTGTTTTATTTTTTGGTTTATGTTTTGATTCTGTTTTTTTGTTTTTGGTTTATGTTTTGTTTTTTGTCGATTTCTTTTATTTTTATTTTGTACTGTATATTTTTTTGTATTGTATTTTTTCTATTTTGAAACAGAATATGTCGATCTACGATTCTTTACGTTTTTGTTTTGTTTTTAGTTTTTTGTTGTTGTTTTGTTTTGTTTTTTAGTTTGTGTTTTTGTTTTTTGTTTCCTTGTTTTTTGGTTTGGGTTTTTGTTTTTTTTGGTTTGTTTTTTCTTATTTTGTTTGGTTTGTTTTTTGTTTTTATGTTTTGTTTCCTTTTTTGGTTTTGGTTTTTGTGGTTTTGTTTTTGGTTTTTGGTTTTGTTTTTTGATTTTGTTATTTTTTTGTTTTTTTTTGTTTTTGCAAATTTCTTTTATTTTTATTTTGTACTATATATTTTTATATTGTATTCTGTTTATTCAATTTCGAAACAAAACTTTCATTATCTAGGTCTTCCATCCTCCCTACCGGCTAGATTTGGCTCCGTCTGACTTCTGGCCCTTCTTAAAACTAATAACGCTATTGAAAGCCAAATTAAACAGTCTTAAGGTCCCATAATAGATAGATAGATAGATAGATAGATAGATAGATAGATAGATAGATAGATAGATAGATATGAATAGACATAGGTAGATATGAGCAGACATAGATAGATAGATAGATAGATAGATAGATAGATAGATAGATAGATAGATAGATAGATGTTGTGGCCTTGTTAGGGCCAGAAATAAAAACACAAAGAGAGGAATTGAGTTAAACAAATATATTAACAGAAATAATAATACAAATATATACAAACGAGAGTGTTACAGCAAGAATGTTCAGTCCCACTGTCAGAGCTGACTGCTGGAAACTTCACTCTCCAAAAGGCAGTACCTGCTCCTATTTATAGCTGAGAGAGTCCATGCGGGCGTGGGTAAATTACCATAACAATAATGAAAAGAATGAGATAGATAGATAGATAGATAGATAGATAGATAGATAGATAGATAGATAGCAGCCTTCAGGGGGATGTGATTTAGCAGCACCAGCTGTGCTTAGTTTAAAAACTTTTCAGCTTTCCCTTTTATATGGGGAATCCTTCCTAATTTGTTTAGCAAAAAAAAAAATAATAATAATAATCTAAAATCTATTCCTATATCAGTCTTTCCATACGGATAAGTCTATACATTTTCCCCAGAATTATGCCTCGTAGGACAATATCAAAAACAGAATACGTTTAAAAAATAAAAATAAAATAGCAAACATGACACATTTGCTTAAGGATGTCAACCGTTGTCAGGATCACATTCTTGTGTGACGAGCTGCGAGTTATTAATGTAAATCTCTCTCTCTCTCTCTCTCTCTCTCTCTCTCTCTATCTATCTATCTATCTATCTATCTCTATCTCTCTCTTTCTCTTTCCTTGCACGCCAAGGATGCCCACGAGTTATCACATGACAAGTTTGAGAAGCGCGGACTGAAAGTTTCAATTCCACTGCGCGACATTTTGGGGGCTTGTCGAATGAGTCAATCAGGCGATCGCCAGCCTCTCGTGAGAACGACAAAGTTAGGTGACGAGCAATAAGGAAAGTGAAACATTTTCTTATTGCCATGGGTATTTACTTTTTGCATATTGGATACCACAAAACGGATTCCGAATATCCGGCAAAAAAGAGAGATAGAGATTTCTGAAAAGATGTCATTCGCTAAGAAAAGGTTGACACATTTCCACATAAAATAGGAAAATGCCATAGCGAATTCGTCAACAAACTAGTTATTTGACAGGGATTTTGAGATTAGACATTTTTTTGTTTTTGTTTTGTTTTGTTTTGGGTTTTTTTTTTTTGTTGTTTTTTGGAGGTTTTTTTTTTAATTTTAATGAGTGGGGTGGAGAGATGGGGTATTTTAGTATTTTACATCTTCCTAGAAAGAGGTTACAATGGCAGACAGAATGTCAAAAAAGAAAGAGAAAGAAAACAACGAATAAAGAATAAAAGGAAGGAGGAAAATTAAAGATAGATAGATAGATAGATAGATAGATAGATAGATAGATAAGGCACTGTAATAGATAGATAGATACATAGATAGATACATAAGGTACTGGCATAGATAGATAGATAGATAGATAGATAGATAGATAGATAAGGCACTGTAATAGATAGATAGATACATAGATAGATACATAAGGTACTGGCATAGATAGATAGATAGATAGATAGATAGATAGATAGATAGATAGATAGATAAGGCACTGTAATAGATAGATAGATACATAGATAGATACATAAGGTACTGGCATAGATAGATAGATAGATAGATAGATAGATAGATAGATAGATAGATAGATAGATAGATAGTGTTATGGTTCAAAGGTCCTTGTACCGCGGTGATAGTCCAATGTAGAGCCAATAAAGAAGAACTCGAACACGGATATGGAATAACACAGATATATTACAAACAGGAATATATACGGAGAAGTAGAAAATGTTAGTACGAACAATCAGGTTTAGTAGGGAAAACAATGTAGTCTCGACCAGTATCACTATTCCAATGTCTTGTAGTAATTCTCGGAACGTGACTCTGTTTCGGACTACTTCTGACTCGACTGACTGAATCGCTCGCTCTGACTGACTGACAGACTCCTGACGTACTTCTGACGGACCTCACTCCAGACTTCAGACTGAACTCCCTGCTTCCTCTTGAGGCGCAGTATTTATTACGTATGGAATAGTCCATTATGTTATTATGGGTAAGGTCCCATAATAGATAGATAGATAGATAGATAGATAGATAGATAGATAGATAGATAGATATGAACAGGTTGAGATAGATAGATAGATAGATAGATAGATAGATAGATAGATAGATAGATAGATAGATATGAATTAGCTGAGACAGAGGACATGATGTCTGTCTGTGAGTTTATCACGCTCTCTATCTATCTTAACCAATTCATATCTCCCCCTGTCTGTTCATATGAGCAGACAGGGAGAGATAAAGAGAGAGTGAGAGATTCTTCATCCATTTCTTCTTTCATTTATTTCCTTCTCATTCTTCATTTGCATTCCATTTCCTACCAGAAATTCTGGTCTCCTTCAAAACAATCTCAACCGAACCTACTGAGCCGAGACTTGAAATCTTGCACTCAGATTGTTTACCTGTTCAAAGCAATGTTTCAACACCTCAGAATTAGTCGAATATTTGCAGCTATCAGCAAAGTCCTAAATCCAAATAATTTCCCAATGATATCCATCTACACTATACTATATATATATATAATGGCTATTTTTGTAGCGATTTTATAACATATTTATGTTATAATTTTTAAATAAATAATTATATATATATATATATATGTGTGTGTGTGTGTGTGTGTGTGTGTATGTGTATAAATGAAGATTGAAGTCAACACTGTTTCATGCTAGACGCAATCGTCTGGCTATTTATATATAAGGGTCAGTGGTGCATTGTGGGTAGTCTATTTTGGCGGTTATTTTGCCGGAAGTCGTTTATTTATTTATTTATTTATTTGGGATAAATTATTTTGCTTGTTTTTATTTATTTTTATTTTTTATTTTTTTTATTTTTTTTATATATATATATATATATATATATATATATATATATATATCTTTGAACGTAAGGTGCCCACGCAGCTGTTTTTATCTCTCTCTCTCTCTCTCTCTCTCTCTCTCTCTCTCTCTCTCTCTCTCGTGATGCTTAAAGACATATCTAACTCTTCTGTGTGGATGTGCAAGTTATGGCTAGCAACTCAGATAAAGAAATCGGCACATCCACTTTTTTCACAAATACCCTCCATCTCTTCTCCACTTTGGTTAAATAGCAACGCTGACCGGCCCCACTCGTTCCGTGGATGACAGCAAATCAAGGGGAAATCCAAATTAGGATGTGAAATGCAATCGATCCTGACCAAGCATCTCGACTTTAGTCACTTTCTCAGCGAGGTTCGTCCGGGGTATGACGATAAATTACATCCAGCAGCAAGGCCTCTGATAGGAGTGGGTGCGAAGCGTGGAACCATCACTTAATTGCTGTTATTCCCAGGTTCCCTCTTGACCCGGGGTGGTAGCACCCGTTAGGTTCCCAGCTACAAGCAAATAGTCAACCCCCTCCCGCCGAACAAACAATATCTATATAATAAATACGAATGTCAGTGTGTCACACTTTTTCGATTACAAGAACACAACTTTCTAACTTTCAATAGCTGATCTTCTTCTTCTATATAATAAATGCGAATGTCAGTGTCCTACTTTTTCAAT